CTTCTGCCCCTAGTTCAATCCCTGGTACCCTGCCCCACTAAAATAAAAAATGAAACAAAACATTTTTATTTTGGGAAGGGTCTTACTAAGTTGCTCAGGCTGACCACAAACTTGTTATCCACACAGGAGGAAAAATTGCCAAAAGAATAGATTTTTAAATGTTCTAACTTTCCCCAAAATGATAAGTATGTGAGGTTATGGATATTTTAATCATTTCGTAATGTATACATATATTGGACTTGAAATTGTATCCCATAAATATATGTAATTATTTGGCAGTTAAAAATAAAATTAAAGCACCAAGCATGTATTTTAGGGTTCAATACTGGGAGCTCTGGAGCTTGTAGTTACTGTGTTTATTCCTTTAAATATGGTGTCTTAGACACCCACTGTGTGAGGCACTGTGGTGGGGAGGTGAACCAGGTAGACAGAGAGCCCTCGCCTCTTTCTCGTCTTATAGGATGCTAATCCCACTGTGGGGGCTCTACTCTCCTGACCTCATCTGAACCTGATAATCACCTCCCAAAGACCCCACCTCCAAATACCATCCCCTTGGGGATTGGGGCTTCAATTTGCATTTTTGGAAGACATCAACATGCAACCCTAGACAATTTGTTTTGCAATAAATGGATAATAATATTATGGAAGGGTTATACTATATTAAAAAATATTAGCAGGTCATAAGGTCTTGCTGAGTATTAATGAAGGGTGACAGATAAACAAGAGTGGCAAGCTGGATGATGGGAGTTGGTGTCCCAGGGTAGGACAGATCCTACAGCTCCCGTGGTCTTCCAGGTGCAGCTTTGATGTGTTTTGCATGTCTCTTCCAAGGGCTGGGTAGAATATGCTCAGTGATGGGAAATTCATTTTCCCTGTACCTCTGTCCCACTGGGGGAGTAAAAAAAAATATGTGCTGCTGGGCTGAAGTTTGCTGTGGTCTAATCTCCCTGGTCCTGGTTCTTCCCTTTGAGGCCACATTGCCTGTCTAGGCTGTTGAGCCCTCTACCCCAGAGAGAGGTTTAACATTCCCAGTTGACCCTAGTTCCCTGGCCTAACTCTGCCGTCTTTCTCAGACCCCTGGCTTTATCTCTCTCTCTCTCTCTTCCTTTTTTTTTTCTTTTCTTGGGTACCAGAGATTGAACTCAGGGTCACTTGATCACTGAGCCACATCCCCAGCCCTATTTTAGAGACAGGATCTCACTGAGTTGCTTAGTGCCTCGCTTTTGCTGAGGCTGGCTTTGAACTCATGATCCTCTTGTCGCAGCCTCCCAAGCCACTGGGATAATAGGCATGTGCCACTGTGCCTGGCCTGTCATTCTCTCTTTTCATATTGATCTTGGCCTTTATGACTTGGCTGCCTTTCAAATTCCTTGATCCATTGGGTCCCTCTCAAGTCTCTGCTTACTCCTCCACCCCAGATGCAGCTTCAATGTGTTCTGCACATCCTGGTGTCCCTGTACCTGTAAAAGAAAAATTGGCAACCCTGGGTTGGTTGACTATACCCAGTGTACCATGCCCTCACTTGCATAGCAAGCCCCTGTGTTGGCTGAAAGTAGCCACCATATGCCAGCTGAGCATTTTTATCTGCAAGTTAAGCATGCCCACCTCCTTGGCACTCCATCTCCTCTCCAGGGACCTCCAACCCTTCTTCCTCTTCCACCTGACTCAATTATCACCTCCATAGAGGACTCCCTGGAGGATGGCTCCTCTCTAGCCAGTTACCTGCTAGACATTGTCCTGTCACAATCCTGCCAGTTCCTGGAGCTCAGCATGCTTGCCTGCCTGCTTTCCTTCCTTCCTCCCTTCCTTCCTTCCTCCCTTCCTTCCTCTTTCTTCCTGTCTAACAAGTGTCCATTGACATTGGGTGTGTGCCCTTTCCAGTCACCATCCCATATTTTCCTTTAACTGGTGGGCCAGAGTCCCCAGCATCTTCTCACATCTCAGGATCTAAATCCTGGGACATCCCAGAATCTATCTTTCCTCCACCATTCATACTAAATCTGACACCTAGTCTGCCAAGCTCCCCCAAACCCAGGGACTCTTTCATCTGCCCCTTCCTTCTGTCACCTCTAGGGCTAGGTCCTCATCAGCTTTTCCCTGCCCTATAATAGTCCCCACCTCACAAAAGGTTTTTATTGCAAGGGATGGTGCTGGCTTGTGTGTGCATGCATTCACAAACGTTTATTGAATATTTATTGAGCACCAACCTTGTTTACTTTTTCTGGTTAAATAAAAAATACTGATGTTGAAGCTGACTTCCTTTCCAACTTAGTTGTACTGAGTGGGAAGTTTGCAATAAACAGCTTGACAATTGCTTCGATAATTTGCAGCAGTGAGAAGGACTGCCTGGAAAGTCAGGCCCCACTTTCATTCTCCACCCCAGAAGGTCAAAGTTCAGGGAGTTTCTGGACTACAGATCTAACAGACTACCAGAAGCCCCAGAGTGACATCTCAGGTCAGAACTGGGACTTGCCTCCACATTCATTAGATACTGTGAATTCCCCCATTCTGGCCCATCTTCTTTCTGTCACCTGTAGCTGACTCACTTCAAGCACCTGCAGCATCCCAGGCATACTGGCCTTTGAGAGAGGGGTGTCCTGGCTGCTGTGGAGGGAGCCAAGACAAGCAGGCAGCAACAGAGAGGGTTGTGTTCAGCCAGCTGCTGGATGACTGTCAGGAAAAGACTTAAGGCCAGAGGGAAGTGGAGAGGCTGTAGGGAATGACCTGGGACAACTGCATGATGTAGATATGCTTGTGCTAAATAGGCCAAGTTAGATTATGAATCAGGGTTAAGGATGTGCTGATTTTAGTGCATTGACCATCAGCTTGACGATGTTCTTGGGCAAGCGATTTAGTTTCTCTGAGTGGCATCTATTTCTTCATCTTAAATGGGACAGTCATACCAATCTTAGAGATTGCTAGAGTTTACATGAGATAATATAAAGAAGCTCTTGGGAGTCAATAAACGGTAGTTATTTATTATTGTTTTGATTAACCTGGTATTGAAGTTGGGGTTGGGCAGAAAGTTCTAGCAGATGGCAAGAAGCTAAAAGCCTCAGGGAACATTTAAGTTCAGGCAGAGGCAACCAAGAGACTTCCACAAATAAAAAGAGCAGGTGCAAGGAGGGAAGAGAGGTGAAGCTCAGGTTAGAGCAGGTGGAGGGAGGGTCAGAGCATGCCCAGGCAGTGCCAGGATTTTTCTGGATTCTCAGCAGCTCTGGGGAAGTTGGACAGAGTATGCAGACACTGGTTTGCTGGGCTAGAATTGTTTTCACACCAAAGCAGATGCTAAAGATGACTCTAAGTGGCCCCTAGAACAGGGATAGCAGGGCTATGGGGCAGGAAGCCAGGTAGCCCATCCAGACCTGGCCCAGAGATCACCCTCTGAGAGCATCTGACAGTCTCTTACCAGGACAAGATGTCCTGATCAGACTTCAAGAACATGCTCATCTTACCTATCCAAGGATGCTTGTCTGACATTTCCAGGTGTTACTGATGACTAGAGTCTCCCCAACTACCCCAGGAGTTTCTCCATGTTTCCACAGTTCTTGGCTAGCTGCTTTATACATCAACGGGTTTTTCCCCTACAATGCAGGCATATGAAGTAGATGCTGTTCCTATTCAACAAAGAGCAAGGCTCACACAGATTAAGAACCTTGGCCAGGACCCTAAAACTGACAGGGCTGGGACTGGTCTTCCTGACTCTAAAACCCTACATTCTAAGCAAAACCTAAGGTGTTTCAGTTCCTTTGGCTGAATAACAAATTACACTGAGTTTTAGTGGCATAAGACCAACCATTGATTAAGCCCTGATTCTGTGGGTCATAAATTCAGACAGGGTACAGCAGCCCTGACTTGGGTCTTTTCCATGATGTCTAGATCCTCTGCAGTGTCTTAGAAGGCTGGAGGCCTTACTCATCTGATGGCTTATTCACACCCAGATCTTCCACTTGCGGCTGGCTTGAGGCTGGGTGCCTAAGTTCCTCTCTACATAGGCCAGTCCAAAAGGCCTGTCTGCATGGACTCCTCTGGGATTCCACATGGCATGGAGGTACTGCCTCCCCCAACCTAGGAGTATGGGTCCCCCCAGAAAAAGAGAAGCAGGTAGAAGTCTATCATCCTTTAAGGCTTAGCTTTGGAGAATGGAACACACCCATTCTGCTGGATGCTCCTTGTCAAGGCAGTCCCAAAGCCATCCAGACCTGCAGGAAGAGGAAACAGACCATGCAGCAAGGTGGAAAATGCAATAGAACACAGGAAGGAACCTGGAGGGACACATCTTTTGGATGAAGGGCTCAAGGGGATCAGCCTTGTCCTAATCTTCTTTGTAGCTCTTATAGATCCAGCACATTGAAATAAAATTAGCATTACTAATTTGAATAAAAACAAATAAATACAGAATATCCAAGTCAAGTTGAGAGTTTCAAAATCATTCTTCAAATTTCCCCTTTACTACTTTCTCTTGCACCTCTGTAGATGGAGCGTTCCATCTCCTGTAAAGGTGGTGCTGCTCCCATCTTTGTTTCTCCCATCAGAGACGCAACAGGATGCCATTTTATTATGAACATCTGCTCTACGTCTTGAAATAGTCTCTGTAGGAAAGTGCTTGAAAGCCTCACAGGCATGACTTCACACTTCCATCAGAGCCACAGCTCTTAGGTCAGCATCACCCCTCTCCTACATCAGCATCTCAAAGCCTTTAATTTTTTTCCTCTCAGGCTTTCCTGGACTGTGCATGGGAGTTCAGAGATTCTGAAACTGTAAAACACAGGCTTATTGTGGGATTAATTTAAGCTCCAATCATGTAGAGAGAATAGAGGTAGGACCTGCATAGTGATTTTTTTTTGTCTGTTTTTTTTTTTTTTTTTTGTCTCCCTCCTTCCCTTCCTCCTCCTGTACTTTTCCACATGCATTTTTGGTTTTGTTTGTAGCTCAGTACTCTCCCACCTGATCTCTAGTTCTGTGGAGATTCACAATTCTTTCTTTACCTTGCTGTTGAGTGTGCTGCTGCTGAGAGTTGCTACAGAAGGAATTCAGATATGGCACCCTGGACAGATGGCAAGAGTCTGGCATTGAGCACCATCAGACCTACGCTGAAGACCTGCACACCTCCTCTCTGGATCACATTCACATTTAAAAAGGTATGAAGTTGAGCAGAGTTAGAGTATCTATGGTTCTGTTTATAAAAAATAAAGTAAGGCAGTGAGGCTCAGCAGTAGAGTGCTTGCCTAGCATGCACAAATCCCTGGGCTTGATCTCTAGCACTGCAAGAAAAAAAAAATCAAAGTAAAATTTCAAAAAGTTTAAATCCCAAATAGTATGCTTACTATAAGGGAATTTAAAAGTACAAGTGGACTAAAAAAGAAAATACTTAAAGACAAAACCCCTAAAAATTTCTTGGTTGTATTTTCAGAAAGTTCTTTCCACCCCCAATACAAAATATTTTCTACAAAATAAATATGGTTTATACTTCAGAAATCAGAACATGGCTTCCTATGCTTTCCTCCACTTAACATATTTCGTCAATAGACATTTCCCTTTGGCAGTGATTGAAAGAGTGATTATTTGTTGCATGAGTGCACCATGATGCAGCTTACTAAGCCCTGTTGAGGACATTTAAATCGTTTTATTGTTTCAATTAGAATCAATAGCATGATAAACATTCCTACAGCTCAATCTCTTCATACATCTCTTACTGTGTCCTCAATATTTATTCCTAAAAACATAGTTAATTTTTTTAACAGCTTTTGGGAAGAAAAAAAAAACTAAACCAAAATATAGTCTCCCAAAAACTTGAAGTTTATATACTTATAGCAGTTTTTGGGTATGCTAAAAAAAATCATCATAACATGATGCTTTCCAAGTGACAAAAAATTGTGAAGATTTTACAGACATCACTGCAACCTCTCCATTGACCATATGAGAGGGTATTGTTATTCTCATATATAGAAGGGGAAAAGTGAGGATCTGATGGACAAAGTAACTTGCTCAAGGTCATGCAGACAGGAAATGCAGAGGTGTGCTTGAAGCCCAGCTCAGGCTGATGCTAATGACCCTGTCTCCATACACTGCTCTGCCTCCCTCTGCACATTCACAGAAACTGGCACCTTAAGAAGCACCTGAAGTATTTTTTCTTGATTATTAAGCTAAATGTTCTGTTCCCTTTTGGCTGCTATTTCCATGCACTGAGCTCTGAATGACTAAGAACCATTTTTTGATTAATTAGATTTTTGTTGCCAAGGAATTAATTTGGTCCCCTACCCCCTCCTCTTTCTCAAAAAGCACACAACAAAATGATTTTAGCAGCAGGGATAATTACAGAAAATGTGGTGTTAACTTGAGTGGAATACAAATATTTTAGATTTTTTATTGTTCTCCAGGACTGCCAGTGTGGGAAGAAAAGAGTGAAATAAGCTGCATTCAGTAGACCTTAGGAGAGAGCAGGACCCAGCTGGGAACCTGACGCCACTTTTGCACATGCCCTCTGACAGACTGTGAGAAACCAGCCATGAGACTGGAGCCTGATCAGAGAGGAAGGCTGAAGCCCGTTGGAATCCCTGGGACTCAAGAAGATAAGAAGAGCCCAGCAAAGGTGCAGTCAAGCCCTTCCTCTTTCCCTGCACCTTCCTTGCCTGGCTGCCTTAGCTTTCTCTGCAGGTAACCTAAGCCCAGTGCAGGGTCACATCTGTGGGTTTGAAGGAGCGCTGCAGGAGGCATGGGCTACAAGATAGATGTCTCAGGGCAGGAAGCCACACTCACACCTATAGTCCAGGTTGTAGACTTGGAGGCCCAAGAGCTCCGGCTCTTAGCTCCCTGGACCTGGACTTATCTTAGACTTTCATGAATTTTTCCTCTCTGTGCTTGAGCACCTCTTAGTAGCTTCCTATGGAAGAATTCAAGAAGATACATTTTCTTCACTTTTTCAAGACTCAACATTCCACGTTTCTTTCTTCATCATACTCAAAAAGTAGTTTGGATACAGAATCCTCGGCTGAGAGCTAGAATCTTGAAGGCATTTCTTTCAAACACTTCTACAGACACATTGCTACTCAAAGTGTGGTTGTGGCCCAGGGTCAGTCTGCAAACTATTCATCATCCGTTTGTGAAAAGAAGTACAGAAGTTGAGAGTAAGCATTTTGAAATTTTGATCCTGATTTGAGTTATTTTGTGTGTGGTGAAATTGAGAATAAAACTTGGGGGCATTTAATTTGTATGTTTTTTTGAATTTACTTTTTTCTAATAATTGTTTCCTACTCTATTCTAAGTTTTATTTTGTTCTCTAAGTCACTGGGTGTTACAGATAGTGTGAGAAGCACTGTTCGTAAGATATGGCTTTGACCTTAAGGAGTCCTTTGTCGGTGTGATTGTGGTGTTTTATGAATAGCTCATTTTTTCTCTCTGAAGGTGTTAAGGTTTTCTTTTTATCCCTGGGATTTGGTGGTCTTTTGTCATTACTGTGCAAGGCTCACATGAGTCCTTCCTCCTGGAGATTCATTCATTCGCTCATTTATTCATAGTGATTTCTCCTCTCTTTTTTTTTCCCCTCTGTTCCCTTTTTTCAGGAATTATCACCCAATGGTTGGTTGGGCATTGGTCCTCAGGTTTCAGCTGTTGAATCTTTAGCATTGTCTTCTTATTTCCATTCCTTTTTCTCTTTTTGTTTCACTTCTCAAGATTTTATCAACTTTATCTCTCAACTCTTTATTCTTTAAAATAGACTATATATATGTATATATATATATATATATATATATATATATATACATATATATATATTTTATTTTACAATCTTTCTTCTAATTCTTTTTAATATTCTGTCCTACTTTGTGTGCAGTATCTTTTTTGGGGGTGGGGGTGGGGGTGGGTACCAGGGATTGAACTCAGGGGCACTCAATCACTGAGCCACATCCCCAGCCGTATTTTGTATTTTATTTAGAGACAGCGTCTCACTAAGGTGCTTAGAGAGTACCTCGCCATTGCTGAGGCTGGCTTTGAACTCGCAATCCTCCTGCCTCAGCCTCCAGAGCCAGTGGGATTACAGGCGTGTACCACCACATCTGGCTATGCAGTATCGTTTTTAAGGAAGCTGATTGGATGCATTTCTTTCAAGTCTTTGCTTCCTGCATTATATCTGTTTCCTTTACCTTTTGTTTTCCTAGTGTACTTCCCCTCTCTTTACATTGATGGTCCTTTTCAAAGATCATGGGTGTCCATTTTTATCTAATAATCTGATGGATACTTCTGTATATAGGTATGGGGGGATGTAAATTAGCAGGTTTTGCTCTTGGGTGATTGGGAAGGAGACTGATATAGGGACAACCCAAACATCACTATATGAGTCTTTTATATGGGGTGATTCTGTTTCCTGAGCTCCTCTCTGGGGAGGTGGTAGTGGTGGGCAGTGTACTTATCTAGCTGAAGTGCTCTGCATGTCTCCTGGAAAGACTGATGAGCAGATCCAATTTCACACACAGACAGACCTCAGCTCTGCACTGCTGGGCTCTTCCCCCACGGCCGTTCTGGTTAAGTCTTAAGCTTCTCTAAGGATCAGTAGGGCATGTTGCAAAAATTTATTAAAATCTCACATCCACTGATGTCCCTTACCAATTCTCTTTACCTGGGAGGGAACAAAGATAAATATCTGTGTCAATGGACTATTTTTAAGCAGAAGACTACATCCTGTACTTCTAGAGTTGGCTTGTGAAAGATTGAAGACTTATTAATATTCGATTTCTTTTCATTAGCTCCAGCCCAATTAGGGCCTCATTGCGTGATGCATAATTTGATAGGCATGCCTTCCACATATTCATTAACATATTGATAAGAGTGTTGAACAGGAGAGGGGGAAGGACAGTGCCCAGTGGCATGTTACTAGAGACCTCCACTAATGAAGGCTGGAATTCTGTCTGTCTGGCACTGCTCTAGCATGGCACTGGAGCTTAGTTGTATAATACGCTTCCATGAATGTGACCACACTCTCCCAAGAGAAATGCAGGTGATCTTGTGAGATCTGTTCCTAGTGAACCACACTGGTTGTAGTGTGTACCAACCACTTCCCTTTGTTCTTGAACTGCTATTATTATTTAATTATCTCTTTTTTGATTTTTCAGAGAATTGGTATTCAACTTGTGAGTTATAGTTTCGGAATCTGCCGCATCACCCTTTTTTTTTTTTTTATTTTACTCATCACTCTTTCTAAAATGAACATTGCTGCTGGGCGTGATGGCATACTATGTAATCTCAGAGGCCCAGGAGGCTGAGGGTGGAGGATTGCAAGTTCTAAACCAGCCTTACTAACTTAGTGAGGCCCTAAGCAACTCAGTGAGACCCTGTCTCTAAATAAAGTATAAATAAGGGCTGGGGAAGTGGCTTAGTGATGAAATACCCCTGGATTCAATCCCTAATATGAAGGAAAAAAAGAGAACATGGCCTTTTCTGGCTCCTCTCCTGGTCTCACAGTTCACACACACATGTTGGGGACGCCCTGTCCTCCCTACACTGGGTTATCATTGGTGTGGGCCTGGCCCATACATCTTATTCGAAATAGTTTAAACCCAGTTCATGTGCCGCAGTCCGGCTGCAGCAAAATAACCGGGGGGTGACGAACAACTTGTGTACATTGATACAGCAGGAGTGGGAGCCGTTTGTTGTAGGACAGGAGGGGTATTTATACATTCCACACAGCTTATCTTAATTAACATAAACTAGATACAGCAGTCAACCAATAAGGAATCTCCACACTTAATGGCTCACTGGCGTTACTTCACAAACCACTCCCTCTGGCAAAATGCCAGGCGCCATCCTGACTTGTTTACAGACCCTAACATTCATGAGCTCTCTTTACCTTGAGTTTAGATGTCTGCTTTTCCATGTATGTTCTGTGCCTTCTAGTTTGAAATTAATTGTCCTTGACAGAGAATGCAGAAGCTAAAGGAGTTAAGTATGTTTTACTTTCTTTTTTTTTTTTTTTTCATTCAGTGAACATGGCCCTGAATCACTCAGCTAGTTTATTCCTTATTCTTCTTGGTTTAAACATTGATTTTAAGAAAGGAGCGGGCTGGGATTGTGGCTCAGTGGTAGCGCGCTTGCCTAGCACGTGTGAGCCACTGGGTTCGATCCTCAGCACCACATAAAAATAAAGATATCGTGTCCTCCTACAACTAAAACATAGATTAAAAAAAAAGGTACATGCTAAGAAGATACTTGATTTAGTGTCTAAAATCTTACTCCTCCTGCAACAATTTATTTTACTGAAGTCTATCACTGCAAGCAAAACCACTATGTGTACTTGAGAAGGGAGCCTATTCTACTTAAGTACCTTTAGACCTGCTCAAGGAGGGGCCACACTTGGTGGATACAGGAAGAGCTGGGGCAGTTCTAGGGCCTGAGTGTGCAGGTAATGTAAGAGCCAGGACTACAGCACAGGGGAAAGGAGAGGTCAAGGTGAAGCTCTGTGGCTCAGAAGGTGCTGCCTGCAGTGACCCTTGACCACCTCTTATTACCCTCCCTCAAATCCTGCTCTCCTTGTTTATTATGTGGTCAGTTCCAGCTGGACTGGTCTCTGTTCCTCAAACTCACTACGCCCTGCCCTTTGCTGCCTCAGGCTCTTTGCATTCTGATAAGCTACTCTTTGTCCAGCTCTTTTTATTCACAGCTCCTCTTCACTCTCAAGTGAGTTCAAAGGCCCTTGCTCAGGAGTCTACCCTGACCACCCAATCTAAAGTGACCTCCCCTCCCCCAGAGCATTATCATCTTGGAATTCCTTGTCTTTACCAGAATTTTCTAGGTTATTTCCTTGCTTACATGCTTATTATGCCCTCCTCCCTCAAACATAAACTCTAGACTTTATTTGTTTTTCTACTTTTGATTCCCAAGGTTTCCTCCGGAGTCTGGCTTGAGGGAACCAGCAAGAACAACTTTGCCAACTTTCCAATTTTCTTGAGGGTAGTCCTTGAAGACTGCAGGCTGGGGATACGCAGCCCATGCTCTAGAGCAAGGATAGCAACTACAGCTCATGGGTCCAATTTAGCCCATGACCTGTTTCTGCAAAGTTTATTAGAACACGGTCGTACTCATTCCTCTTATGTATCTGTGTATATTATTATCTGTGACTGCTTTCACCCTGCAAGGGCAAAGTTGAGTAATTATGACCAAGCCCACATGGCCAGCAGAGCTGAAAAGATTTAGTATCTGGCCTTTAACAGAACAAGTTTGCCCTTCATTGCTCCAGAGAGAAGATCCCCTGTGTTACGTCAGACGTTGCTTTCATGTGAGTTGATACCACGATGACAAGATGTTTCATGGCTTCTTCCCATGGAGGCCTCTTTCATGTCTGTGCGTTTAGATATGGGACAGAATCTTACGATGATGAAAATGTTGACTTTGGTGATCTACTTAATTCAGATGGCAAAACTACTTTGACCCAAATTATCCCAAGAACAGAGATCAATGTGTTTTCTCTAATTATTAATTATCTCTAATTATTAATTATCGGGACAACACATGGCATAAGCCACTCTGCCTGTCTGTCTTTTTATTCAGAGGAAGGATTTAACAGGGTGCTTTGGTGGCATAAAAGATAGTCTTAAAGTG